GGGAGGAAGTGGATAAATTCTTGGAATTATTTGGAAAGTGTAAAGGGTTTTCTTTTAGAAGAAACAGGAATGAATTTTACTCAGAAACAGGAATGAATTTTACTTAGATCATTTAAGCATCCATTGTCATAGTTACGAATGCTCATATTCACGTGCGCATAAGGCTAAAAAAGTAGTTGATATAACCAAGCAGCGTGAAAAGCCCTCAGCAACAATAAATTGTGAATGGCATGTTAATTTTAATAATTGTAAGGAAACTAAGGAGATAATTTGTACCTCTTTTGTTGATAAACACAATTATGAAATGAATCCCTTAGTTGCTCAAACAGCGCCACTTTTTCGTAAATTGTCAGAAGAGATGATTGAGGATGTAAGGTTCTATACATGTTCTACAGAGGGTATAGGTGCTACTTTGCAGTATAATTTTTTGAAAGCAAAGTATCCTGACAAATATATTAACAAAAAAGATGTGTACAATGCTATTCAACGATTCCGGGTGCCGTCTCGTGAAAACTTAGAAACTGATGTCACTGAGACCCTAAAAAGGTTATTGACATTAAAAACTGAAGATTCTAATTGGATAGTTGTACCTAAAATTGAAGGTAAAGGAAATAGATTGATTGCCCTTTTTTGGATGTCGCCATTACAAGTTTTACTATGGGCTCAATTTTATGATATTGTATTGATCTATAATACCTGTAAAACCAATTGCTACGAAATGGCATTGTGTTTTTTTTTGATAATTGATAATAACACTCGTTCATGTATTGTTGCGCAAGCATTATTAGAAGACGAAACGTAAGCTTCTTTCGAATGGGTTTTAGAACAGTTAATTAGTGCAACGAGTGGTATCATTCCTAAGACTATATATTCTGACGCTGACCCGGCTATGGGTGCAGCTTTGCAAAACATTTTTCCCAATACGCATCATTCTCATTGTATATTTCATATGAATAACAACTTTATTAAAAAAATGAAACCAATTATGGGTAAAAATTTTAATGAATGTTATAAGCTTTTCTATCGTTCCTATAATAGTCTATTCGAAGCTGATTTCGAGCGACGTTGGGCACAATTTGTTGAGTTCATTGAGTCATTCCCTAAAGCAACACGATATGTACTTGGGACTCTTTATCCTGCACGTTATAGTTGGGCAACTTGTTATACACAAGCATGTTTCACTAATGGCATCCAAAGTACTTAGCATGTAGAAGGAATCAATGCAATTATCAAGAAAGAGGTTTTACGTAATACAATATTGTTACATCTGGTTGATGCAATACAAAATAAGTTAAATGAAGAAGCTCGTTATACAAGGATAAATGAGCAAAAAAATACAAACCCTACTATAGGCTTGCCTCACGTTGCAGGTTGATATTTTCCAACTATAGATTCTTTAATCCAGAAGTATTTAACTTCACATATTCTCTCTTTACAAAGATAGCAGCTTTCTGAAAGTTTTTTGTACGAAGCTACTGAACTTTCTTTTGATTGGAATAAAGATTTCGTTGAACTGGAAAATGTCATGGAAGATGGGTGTATCAAAGATGATTACGAGCAGCGTCAAACAGGTCTTAGGTCACTGCTACAAACTTTAAAGTGTGAGGATATTTTACAAATATAGACCGTAACTCTACAAGAATCTTTTTCAAATCATTTTAGCAATTATGTTGTATTACTTGCAGATGGCACACATTTATGCACTTGTCTCACTTTGATCAGTAAGGGAATCGTCTGCCGTCATTTCTTTAAAGTTTTTATGAAATCACATCTTGCTAGATTTCATATTTCTCTGATATCAGGCCGGTGGTATAAAAATAGTTTGAATAATAGAGATCTTATTTCTTTGCATCCACCTATAAGATTGTGTGAAGCCAACCAACCTTCGCTATCTGATAACAATATCTATGCAATTAATTTCGAGTATCTAGCTCAGCTTTGTACTAGCAACGTACTTACTTCAACTTTGAAAAAATCCAATAGTGAGAAAAGCTGTTGGTCTAAAGGCTACGAAATATCCAAGAAAGTATTGAATCTAATGATATGTCTTAACTGCAACAATAAGTTTCTTCAAATGATGGAAGAGTTTATTTCTTTGAAAACACGTGAGTTGGAACTCTTGGAAAACAGGAAAGAAAATGAAAAGGAAAATGATAAAGAAAATGATAAAAAAAATAGCGAAAATGTAATTGAATCACAACAATATGTAGTTGCAAATCCATATGTAACTAAACGCCATAGTAGACCACCTAAATGTTTCAAGGATGCACTTGAAAATATTACCAATACTTGTCAAACGGTGGTTCATAATAAGCAATGTGAAAGAAAAAGGAATAAATGTAATAATTGTGGGGATTATGGTCATAATGTTAGAACCTGTTCAGTATAATTGATCATATAAATGTAGCCAATACAGAATATGTTGTTTGCTTAAATTGTAAAGATATGTTCGTCACAATTAAAATTGATATGCACTAAATTTACAAGTCTGGGTTCAATAATTAAATTTGAGTCGGTTAATTATATATCATTTAATTTTAAAAGCTATTTATTGTTACTATTGAAAATGAGAGCCACACCCAATAGTTAACTTTATCGATAGTTAGAAAGGCTTGTTTATATGATATATCTAATTAAATAAATAATTTGTATTCGTATAGCAAGGAGTATATTTAAGTCAGTTAATTCACAAGGCATTATTTTATAATGTCTATGCTTTATATATCTTGGTTACTAAAAGATATAATCTGAGGTTTACTATTATTATGTTCGACTAATATGTATTGTGATTTTTTCTAGTATTATCAGAGCAAAAAATAGAAGTTTATGTTAAGGCTAGGATAAACGTTTATATTAGAGTTAGATGTTAGTGGTACATCGACACTGATTACAATCGATTTATATGATAAAAGGTAAGAATCAAATTGAAGTAGTGTTTATGTATCATTTTGTGAAAATTTTCTTGTTAGAGTGCAGAAGGTACTGTAGTATATATCAGAAGTTTTTTAATAGACGCTATATATTTATAACCCATAGATAATTTTTTTATTATAACATATATAATTAATAATATGAGTACCGAGGTAATACTATAATAAAAAAAATTACAAGCGAAAGCGCAGTATTTTTTTTATTATTTAATTACCCCGGTACTCTTATACAGTAACTAGTTTTAATGATAAAAAATTATTAATTTTTAGAATATATAATTTGTTTATTTTAAAAAAATCTATATAA